TTTTTTTTTTTTTTTTTTCTCCAACACATTCACGCTGAATATTTTATTTCAATATAATGCTTATCCTCGCGTGTGCATCATCATTGTCGTTAAAAAGAGATTCGAAACGAAGGGAAAGAGATCGAAACGATGTAAATTACCGTTCCGCGTGTTTGCTCCTTTTTTTTTTTTTTTTTTTTTTATGTGCTGCATATGTATGCAGCGATGAATAACGAGATAGGAATCGGTGAAAACCTTGTTCGAATCGATCATTTGACCGTCTTCGTGCAATTAAATGAGAGATAAACGTGCGTAATTTCACGCCGATTTATGATAAAATGTTTGTAAACGATTATTGTTTATCATCTTGAGAGAATGGAATTTAAAATTTTCATCTGGAATTTTGGATGATATTGAGTTTTTTAAAAGTTAGGATAAAGAACGGTAGAAAAGAATGCTGGTATCGAAATCTGATAGCCATTATCTGAACACGAGTTCACATTCCTCTTTTACACATTCTCGTTTCACAATTTAAGATTCATTTGATCGTAAACATAATTATGAAAAAATAAAAATTCGAGCTGATTGTGGGAATGTTGTTCGTTTGATTACAGGCGTTCGAAGAGCTGGAAGAATTGCTAGGTAAAAGGAACATATGCATAGCTATCAAGGAAAAATTGGTGAAAGATTCTGGGGTTGCGAAAGATGCGGCTTACGACAATATCGTTTTGAAATTGTTGACCAAACCGAGAGCACGAGGTAAGCCATATTTTTCACAATTTTTTAAAAAATTGTTTAACTATACTCAACAATATTTAGAGACATAAGTATCTTTGTAAAATTTTAATTCAAAATATTTTCTCCAATCGCGTGTCTACGATGTATTTGTTACGCTACAAGATGAAAAATTTCTAACAATATTCAAAAAGTCTAGAAGCAAATTTTAGACCAAATACTTGGACCAAGAAACGTCTATTGCAAAATCTTCGATACAAAATCATTCAAAATATTCTCAACAACACGGTTCTTCCTTGTAATCAACGTTTCACAGAGGGAAGAGAGATTCTCGAATCGTCAAACGTACACGTGAATTCCACGAAACCACGAGAGCTTCATTCCAGTTATCAAAGTATATTGGCGCGATAAAGTATAATGTATCAAAGGGACAGGATCAATCGAAACAAAACAGAGGAAGATCCATCGATGTGGAATTGAAACGAAGAAATGCGAAATAAAGATATCTCCAGAGGAATACAAGAAAGAAAAGGAGGAAAGGGAGGAAAGATTTTGAATGATAGAAATTTTTATCTTTAATTTGCAATTTTCTATTTCATTATCAAAATGGGAGGAAACTAGAAGACGACTCGATACTAATCCAGATAAAACTGGAATTCCTGAAATTTAACTTCTCTTTCGAAATAGAACGTGGAGAACCAGCTGATTCTCTTTCTTTCTCTCTCTCTCTTTTTATTTTCAGAGAACCGGTTCCTTTTTCAAAGTGGAAATGAACGTTTTTAATCAGACACGAGAAACTAAAATCGATACTGTTCGTGAAAATTTTGTTATGCAAATTAATGCTATTAACTTTTTGCTATAAACTTTTAGTTTTTAATTGTCGAGTTAGGGCAATTAAAAATTTTCAATTTTCTTTCTATTCTAATAAAAATGTTGTTAAAATATTATGGCATATAATCGAATATTTGAATGAGAAAGGAATTAAATTTTGTCAATGTTCCGAATGGAAAATAAATTTTGAAAAAAATTTAAATTTATTTATTTCTAATATAACGTACGATATATATTTTTTAAAATAATTTTACAAATAACAATTGAACGTGCAATGAAATTTCATATATACTCGAATGGACTCAAGGACACTGCACGAGCTAAATAATCAATAGAGTTTAAATGCTTGAAAAGCAGATACTAATAAATTAATTGTTCTCGTGTTCATAATAATTTAACATATATTTATATCCTCCATGAGTTATTTTAAATAATTAATGAGTAATAAATGTCAAATGATTAAAAGTAGGCAATGATAAAATAATTATCATTCATATATTTAATAATAATTTAATATCGTATTAAAAAAAAGAATAGAACGCTTTCAAGTATATTACAGAACGTAATTAATTAAAAAACAAATCTTTCGTAAAAGCAGAGCCATTACACGCGATATAACTTTTGTATTTACTCTTAAAGTTAATGGCGCGTTGCAGGGCATTTTCATGCGCATCGCAACCCCCTGGAGAGAGAAGTTCGATGTATCGAAAAATCTATAAAGTTTTTAATGTCCATACATACAAAGTTAGAATTACACCGATTAAAATTAAGCTATGTGTAAGCCACGCTCGTACGTATAATGCTCGCTAAGGGATAATAGAGATTACCGAATTTTTCACTAAAGTTTGACCATACAAATCTTCGACCCCATTAATAAACTTTCTGCCCATTTATTTTAAACTGCTCTCTCAACTACAATTACGATTTCCATATGCTTTTAGAAATTCTAGAAAATCGCCCGAAAAACTAACTACCATTTCTCTTTAATTTGCCTAATTTCGTGTAAAATTAAATAATACGTGAGAATTCGCTTTTTGAACATTTTTTAAGAAAAAAATAATTAAAAATATAATACCAAGTTCAGGAATTTTATTAAAAGTTCTGGAGATATCAAATCACAACACGCTTAATTTATTTTAAGAGGGAAAAATAAGAGTATAAAGGTGAAAGTGTGTTATTATTCAAGAAGGTTAAAAATAATCAGATAATTTAATTTTTATGGTTTATAATTTTTTAGATTTATTAAATTCTCGGCCAAAAATGAACATATACCTTGTTCGTTATATTGGATTATCATACAAATTACGAATTTTCTTTATAACTATTATAATTACATATGTATACTACATTTCTTTATAAGTATCATACTTTGAAAATATTTAAATTTGAAATAAAAAAAAATAAAATAAAGAACTACATCCTGTATGTTCAAATATACGAAATTCTATTATATCTATCCAAAATCGTTGTTTTTATATTTTACACTTATTTTTAGTATTTTAAATTTTCTTTCCATACGAGATATTAAATAATACTTTATGTCACGTGAAAATTCATCATATTCGAAATATGTCAAGGAAACACAAACTTTCGCACGATTATACGAGACTAGCCACCTGGTGTTCGCGAAAAAAGAAAAAAAAAACAAGAAAAGTTAACGACATTCGTATTAAAAAAGGATACAAAAGTATTAAAAAGGAAGTTTTGATAAAGTTTTGTACAAACATAGACACATAGAATATATAATTTTACGCTATTAATTATTATAAAAATCCACGAGATCGAGTTCGTTATATGAGAAATCCTTTTTTAACCAAGAATTTCTTTTAAAGTTTTTCAAAAAAAAAACTTTAGCTCTAATCCACATCTTTCATCGACGCCTGTGCCATTGCGCGATTGTTTCTCATTCAACGGATCGCAATTACACAGTTGTACTGCAAAATAGAGGGAGTAAATTTACTACCGTTTAAATGGTACTCGCGGCCTAAAGTTTCTCTCTGTTGAAACTCCGGCCCTCGTTAACCCTCGTCTGCCCTTTTATCGATACTAACGATCGGCTAGAGTCGAAAATTACTCTCCAAACTGAAGAATTTGAAGTTCGTTCTGCGAAATATGCCACGTCTTAACCTTGCAAAAAATATCATCCCTATAAAAAACTGATCGAGCAGCAATTTTTCTGATCCATCTTTAGATCCATCCCGTTCTCGAAGATTAAGGTCTTTACTTAAGCTTTCGAGCTCGGCGTCGAAAAAGAAAAAAAGAAAAAAAGAAACGGATGTAAAGATGTAAAACAGGTGATTACACGATTCTTATGGGAATTTAGATTAGAAGATGAGAAGCAGTGTGGCGTGAAAAAGAAAAGGATAAAAAAAGAAGAGGGAATTAGAAGGACGTTTCTTTCGAGGATCGTAATTTGCATAAAATAAAGATACAGCTTCTGCGTTTCAGTTTATCGAACAAAAATGAATCCTGGCGAACGATCTCGAACCGAGTTTGGATTAAAAAAGTAAAACACGAGGTAAAGTTTGGAAGCGAAAATTGAACGATTGTGCTTCTTTAAAGCAAAGACTGGCACGATGAGTTTGCTTCTCTCGAGTCAACAGTAATATATATTGAAAGAGTAAGAGAGGAGCGAGGGGTAGAAAAATGGAATAGAAGCGGCAGGGTGGAGCGTGAAATTTCTAGAAATATAACGCGTAGTAGAATTATATACCAGCTATCAGATTGCTGTGTTTCGATTTCGCGGAGAAATTAATTACGTCACCTGAGAATCAGAAAATCACCTGAACGAAGGAAGGAAAAAGAGATCGAATTAAATTAAACTCTGGAAAACCATATACCTCAAAATACCTCTCTCTTCTTGCATTTCTTTTCATTGCAAACGATAAAAAAATATCTTCCCACTGCCAATATAAAATTTTGCAGAATAAATTCTTGATATTTATAAAAGCTAGCTAGTTTAGAAAAATCTCTTTAATATTTAATATTTAATATTTCAATCGATCGTATATAAAATCGTAAATAAAAATTCTCTTATCTTATATCGATCTCGATCTGATTCCTATGCCTTTTATAAATATTCTTCGCAATTAATTCGAAATTCAGTTCGAGATAATCTTTGAAAGCAGGATGACTAATTAAACAGAGATGGAAGACATAAATTTTTGGAAAAATATTTTGCAAAAAATATTTTGAGAAATTCTTAATTGAGAGTTAATCGATCGTTTCATCGTCTGTCTGATCAGGTTGCATCATATTCGGCTCGGATCAAGAAGTTGCCGGAGTTATGAGAGCGGTTAAACGTTGCAATGCGACCGGTGCGTTTTCGTGGATTGGCAGCGACGGATGGAGCGCCAGGGGGTTGGTTAGCGATGGTAACGAGGCGGAAGTGGAGGGCACTCTATCGGTTCAACCTCAAGCAAATCCTGTCAAGGGTTTCGAAGAATATTTCCTCAATTTGACGGTCGAGAACAACCGGAGGAATCCGTGGTTCGTTGGTAAGCTAACGAGCGAAACACGCGAGCCTCGTTAAACTTCGTTAATTCTAACTTTCGCGGACTACAACTTTCCAATATCGATTCTATCCATATCGTATTTATTATCTAACACCTAAGTAAGATTTAAACGAAACTATTTGAGCCGAGTTAGACGAACGAGATGAACGAGATGAATGACACGCGAGCCTCGTTAAACTTCGCTAATTCTAACTTTCGCAAACTTTCCAATATTCTATCCATGTCGTATTTATTATCTAACACCCAAGTTAAACGAAACTATTTGAACCGAGTGAGAAGAGCGAGATGAAGAGAAGCTATTTCTTTTCCATCGCGTTTGTTTCGAATACAATTTTTTCAACGGATTATATGATGATATTTTGAAAAGATAATTCACGGTGAGAGAGAGAAAAAACGTATACAGAATGTTAAATACGGAATAAAATTTGTTACATAATATTTAAACGGAAGGTGTAATGTATTGTAATGAAATATGCGGTAAATCGTTTTAGAATTCTGGGAACATCACTTTCAGTGTAAATACCCGAACGCATCCATAACTCCGTACAACAAAAATTACACGAAATTCTGCACTACGGAAAAGCGTTTGACGAAACAGAACACAGCGTTCGAGAATCAACTCCAATTCGTGTCCGACGCGGTGATGGCGTTCGCCTATGCATTTCGGTAATTCAATTTTCACGAATTTATTATCAAACAAATTTCGCATGATATTCCCCCGTGACAAGCGTGCTATAAATATTCCCCGTTCAGAGATATGCACAAAGAGCTCTGCGATGGGAAACCTGGACTGTGCGACGCGATGAAACCTACCAAGGGTACCGAACTTTTGAAATATCTTCGAAAAGTGGATTTTGAAGGTAAGAACAATTACTCACTGATGAAACGTTCCACTTATTAGTTCCTTTCGAGACGATCCGTTCGTCGTTTTTTAAAATACGAAATATAAATATTTCCAAATATCAAATTTACATTTCGAAAAGAAAACTTCCAATAGTTTGCACGCTGTTTAGTTTTCTCGTATATATATATATATATATATATGTATATATAATTCCGTTTAAAAAATAAGATTTCACGAGTCGAGCCAATCTTGTAAAATAAAGCTGTAAAAAAAAAAAAAGAAAAAAAGAAATTAGAATATGAAAATTGAATTCGCAAAAATTTCGAGTTCATCGAATGGAAATATGATTGAAGGTCTGAGCGGCGACAAATTCAAATTCGACAAGAACGGTGACGGGCCGGCCCGATACAACATCATACACTTCAAACAAATCGAGCCGGGCAAATACGAGTGGGTCCGGGTTGGCAAATATCTCTCGGGTGAATTACGGTTGAATATGTCTGGTAAGCCACAGATTGGTCGTTTCGCGATTTCCCTCCTTTCGCTACCTTTTTCTCGCGAAATTGAACGGCGCCTCCCCTCTCTCTCGCTACCTACTCGCATATTCCTTGCAGCAATCCAATTTAAACTTGGACATCCCGAGCCACCCGAAAGCGTGTGCTCTCTGCCCTGCGAGGTCGGCCAGGCAAAGAAATACGTGGCGGGCGAGCAATGCTGCTGGCATTGCTTCAATTGCACTCAATATCAGGTTTGTTATCATGTTTCCTTCAATTTCAACAACGATGATGATGACCCAACATTTAAATGTTTCTAAAATATAAACGATCGACATAAGAAGAAAGATTTTTTCTTTCTCGCGAGGAAAAATCGGAAAATTCGATATTATTAGACTTTCATAGATGCGACATCACACGCGACACGATTGTTTCTTTCTATAGATATTTAATAAAAAAATTCCTTTAGAGATATTATTTCCCATTCTCTATGATAATCTCGTGTAATTCTTTTGAAGAAATACTTCCTCGCGATCGAACGCAATCGCGTATTTATTTTTTCATTTTCGAGTTGATTCGAGAAATGCCTGTTCGCGAACAGATACGGGACAGATATTTAACGCGTCATGGAAGATCGCTTTTTAAATTCACGGAAACGGAAGCTTCCCTTTAAAAAGCGCTACTCCGCTTTCAGGGGAGCAACTGAAATAAATATAGCGCGGAACGGATTACCTTGGACGGATTTTTCATTTTTAAATTTTTCTACGTTTGTTAAACAGATACGAGATCACAAGGACGTGACCCAATGTATTTCTTGTCGTCAAGGTACGGTGCCGGACGAAACGCACTCCGCTTGCCGTGATATCCCCGAGGAATTCCTGCGGCCAGAAAGCGGATGGGCAATAGGGGCAATGTCTTTCTCCTCTACAGGGATTCTGGTAAGTGATTCTCGTTAGAGGCGAACGTAATTACAGACGAAAAAAGAACAAAATTGCGAATATTGTGTAAAAGTGAGAGGAAAAAAAAAATTGTTGCCTCTTTGAATTTTGCGTTTTAGAAGAGAATAGGGCGATGAAAGCGAAAGAAAAGTTTTTCACGGTGCGTTGAATCGTTTCGTTTTTTTTCTTTTTTTTTTTTTTTTTTTTTTTTTTTTTTTTTTTTTTGCTAGAAAGAAATGACGAACAAAGATTCGTAATAATGAGAACAAAGGAAGAAAAGTTTCTTTACATTTCGAATTCACTGTTGCGTTTTAATCGTGGGATTATAAGGAAGAAAAGATTGCGAAGATAAAGGTCAATTGCTCTAATTGCATATAGTGCGATTTACGGTATGAAATAATCGCGAGTCGACCAATTCCGACTACAATGCATTAAATCGGCCGAGAGCCTCTTGCACGAGTGCTGGTAAGAAAAACTAGCTGCATTATTGATCCAAACTGCTCGAACGACTCGTAAATATCAAAATATCAGCACGAAGTCGTACTTTGACAAATAATTGAGATGATGCGTTTTTTTTCCAAAGTCGTTGAAATATATTTGTAAGATAGATTTGAAATTATTATTATTATTATTATTATTATTATTAAGGCTAACAGTTAAAAATACAATGAAATTTTTCTCGTGTCAATTTAATTTCATTAAAACTTGAATTAATATATAATTCGTGCATCAAACGTAAGAATTTCACTCTTTCGAACTTTTAAAATATAACTCGAAATATTCGCATATTGATTTATGACTCGGGCACATAATCCAACGATCCCAACGAAACTTGAGTTTCGATTCGAAGGAATACGAATTTGAGAAAATATTTCGCAACCAACAGATAACTCTATTCGTCTGTGGGGTGTTTCTGAAGCACAACGACACACCGGTGGTACGTGCATCTGGCCGTGAACTGTCGTACGTTCTTCTCTCCGGGATCCTGCTCTGTTACCTCGTTACCTTCGCCCTCGTTCTCAGACCGACGGACATCGTTTGCGGGATTCAAAGGTAAAGGATCAGTGCGCATCCCATTTTCCTGTGGCGTGTAAAAACTCGACTTCAACGTGGCCATTGAAAAATAAATTAAATTCTTACGGCAGAAACGAGTCGGCGACGGTAAATTGACATTAATCAAGTGAACGCGAGTGCATCGATCGGTGAAAAATTGATAAAATTTCAGGGACGTGAATTGCACGCGATTCAATTAAGGCAAGTCGAAAGAAGAATATAAAACAGATCGGTGAATCTATTTAGAAGTGAAAGTTATTTCTTAAACGTTCTCGCATTTTACATTTATCATTTTCGTATCGATGCATCGATAAAGTGAAAAATTAATTTCTCGAAAATATGATATCTCGATAAAAGGGATATTCTCTAAATCAAATAATCCATAAATCCGAAAATATTAAATAAATGATAAAAATTCTCAACGAAAATAATTTCTAAAAAAAAAAAAATAGCGAGGAATCTGTATATAAAATATACTTTACAAAAATATTCATATAGTTCTATCTAAAAAAAAAAAAAAAATCAAGATCGCTCAAAAAAAAAAAAAAAAATTCTCATATCCAAAAAAATGATAAAGTTTCGTCCAACCAATGAAAAAAATAGAAACTATTCGATACGCTAGTACAAAACTATATTATTATCGTTGATAAAAAAACGAAACGTAAAATTTGAGAGAAAGAAAATTGTTCGACAGATTCGCCGCGGGTTTCTGTTTCACCGTGGTCTACGCAGCCCTTTTAACAAAGACAAATCGAATATCGAGGATCTTCAACGCGAGCAAACACAGCGCAAAGAGGCCATCCTTCATATCTCCGCGGTCACAGCTGATCATATGTTCCGGTTTGGTGTTCGTGCAAATTCTGATCAACGGAGTTTGGATGATAATCGATCCAGCCAAGGCGATGCATCATTATCCGACCAGGGAGGACAATTTGCTCGTTTGCAACAGTTACATAGACGCCAGTTACATGATCGCTTTCGCTTATCCCATCATGTTGATCGTCGTTTGCACCGTGTACGCCGTCCTCACAAGAAAGATCCCGGAAGCTTTCAACGAGAGCAAACACATCGGTGAGTGTATGCACACGTGTATGCGCGCGTATCGTATCGACACGTCCACCATCTTCCAATTTTCGAGCTTGTTCCTTTTTCCAACTTGTACCGTATTTTCATAGAGACTTCAATGTCTTTTGTATCCCGATGGGGGGATTTCTGCTGTTCTCCATTTTCCTTTGGTGGAACACGTCGAGGATGGGCGCACAATATTTCCTTGGCGCAGAATTTTATTAACGGAACAACAACGGATGCTCCGTACACTTTAGACGAAGTTTACGTGGAAAGGTTTAACGCTGCCAAGTTTGAATATAAATCAAGCACCGATTCTAACGATAATTCCTAAACCGAAGATGAAGTTCTGTTAAGTTTTGTTAAGTCGTAAACTTCACCATCTCTTTGTAAGCCGTTCTTGAGTGCAAGTTAGAATCGTGAAACATTAATGGGTGTAATTCAGTCGGATCTGCGCGAGGCAGGAGAACAAAATAATAATAGGGAGGTGTTGGATATCCTTTCCTTTTCGAAATTCTCTTTGTTCGAAAATGTGTACACGCATTGTATGATTATTATGAAAAACAAAAATCCTCTTAACCCATAGATATCTGTGAGATTAAAGATTAAACGTTAGTGGTTCGTTTCTCGTAAAAAGTGAAAAAGGGAAAAAAAAAAGTAGAAGAAAATACGTTTCTACTTCAATTCGTTAATTAAATATAATATATATTTGAGGATAATAAATTCTGTTCCAAAAGGATTATTAAATTCGCAATAATCGTATTTCTACTGTACAGGTTTCACGATGTACACCACGTGCGTGATATGGCTGGCTTTTGTGCCCCTGTACTTCGGTACTGGGAACAACGTTGCATTGAGAATCACCTCGATGTCAGTTACTATAAGTCTATCCGCGTCCGTAACTATAGCCTGTCTGTTCAGCCCGAAGGTAATTCATTGCGACAGAATTTCAGATGAATAGAGTGGCCAACTTTTAACCTTTTCGTTCTCTCCCCCGTCAACAGTTATACATCATTTTAATACGGCCAGAAAGAAACGTACGTCAAAGCATGATGCCGACTAGATATAGCACCACGAAAAGTTCAGCAGTCACGGCTACCAATGCTTCTAGCATGATAGCACCGGTTGCGCTCACTGCGGCTACGTGTGATCAGAATAAGGCTGTTAAAAAACACATCACCACTACCATTGATTGCTCCACTCAAAGCGAATGTGAGTATCCATCACTTGTCAAATATTAAGATTGAAAAGAAAAAAAAAACCTAATTATGATGGAAAAGAAAAAAAATAAATTATTTCTCGATCTTAATATATTCGTAATATATTCAAAAGATTAACGTCGTAAGTATATAGTTCACGATATATTTAATGGCATTATAACCGGATCTCTTTTACATTTTTCGTTCAATAAACTAAATATTTAATGTTCGATATTCCACGTTAAATGCCATTTATTTTATGAATACGAGATATAAAATATTAAAGAAAAATAGTTTATTTTTTTTTAGTTATCTGAATTATCGATAAGAGACTTGCAATTAAAAATTGATACAATATCTAGTTTTATCATATATTACAAGAATAATCGTTCTAATTACTTACGAAATAATTAACTATAACTTTTCTCCGAGCATATTTAATTTAATACTTTCTAAGAAAGCGCATCTTAATTTCCTTTAAAAGACTTTAACCACCGTATTTTTCAAAGGAATTATCTAATTATCGATCAAGACTTTTTTAATTAATTAAACATTTTCGACTGGCAATTTTTGCATTCTCGATCTACAAACACCTCAGGCAAATGTCTACGTGGAACAATTTTCTGACAAAATAATTCACTATAAAAATCCTTTCGAGTCTCTCAAAATTTTCTGGTAAACATCTGACCGATCTGTATATTCTCTAAATTAAATCTTAATCTCCTTTCAGCCTGCCAATCGTAATTAACGAAATTTAATTAACAAATGTTTTCTCTTGCAGATTACGAGCTAGAGGTAAAAGATCAGAAAAATGGGAAACCACCCTCGGTCGTTTCTCGATCGACCCAAACCTCTGCCAACAACGACAAAGACGCTAATGCTGTGGTAACGCAGAGCAAAGAGACGAAGGATAATACCACGACAACGAAGCAATTGAACAATAAAGCGAGAATAGGAAACGGACCTATAAATCAGAGTGATGTTCCATTATAGCAGCAAACTTCCATAGAATCGGCCATTTTGCCCGCGACTTTGAAACCAATTTCGAAAAATCCGGTGATAGTTTGAAAGGACGCAAAAAAAAAAAAAAAAAAAAAGAGAGAACTGAAACGATATTTTATAAATACGACTGAATATTAAGTTCGAGATATTAAAAAATTAATATTAATTCTCTTTAAAGCTTTGGACGATGTTTAGACTGAATGAAGATGAAATATATTGTTTGTGAAATTAAGTGAATTACAAACGATAATGGAAATATATATATATATATATATAAAATAAAATTGATTTTTGGAGAATGTGAATGAAAATAGGTGATTAAGAGAGATTTAAAAAAATATGTAAAAATTTTGAAGAATTGATTTTGTCGGTTAGCATAAATATATGACGTTATGAGGACGCTAGGTACACGAAATTGCATCATAAAAGACGAATAATCGATCTTAATTAACTATTAAGTGGCGTTTTAAAAACTGCTCTGATTTCTTCTGTGATCATAGCGTAATGCACGTAATAATCACGTGAGATTGCATAAACCTATTTTGTATATACACTATCATTTCATAACGTTTGCACATTAATCATAATAATCATAATCATAATAGAATTAATTGAAATATTGTAAATATTTAGTCGAATTCGTTATGTAAAAAAAAAAAAAAAAAAAATGGGAATTACTATCCAAAATCGTTGCCAAATACGAAAATAGGATTACGTCTATACGACGAGATCTTCTATTAATAATTTTTGTAACAAAAAAAAGAAAAAGGAAAAAAGAAAAAAAGGAAACAACGGTTGTTCGATACATCGAGAAAATCACATTTGTCGATCTTTCTGTATATAAATTTCTTCCTGTAAATATCACACGAAATAACAGACGAATAAGTGAATAAGTTCAAAGCATAAAACAAATTTCCAAATATGACTATACGAACTAATAGACTTTTTTAGATAATCTTTTCTCCTTCTTTTCGATATCTCCTCTGCAGACTATAGGAATTGCTACACGTAGATTTAAATGATAAAAAAGAAAAAACGCAACAATCGCGTTTCGATCGAAAATACGAAACGCTTTACGATCTAGTCGCTCTAATTTTAATAATCTAACGTTAATCCGCGCTTGATCTTTGTATTTGCGATTAAAAAATGAAAATAACAAGCGACGAATAACATTCCGTTTTCGTAGATGTAAATACGCGATGTTGAAGAAAAATTGTAAATTCATTTTCGTAGAATCGCAATCGTGCGATAAACATATCCGATCTAACCCGTAGTTGTTTTTTCGCTAGCGATAGTTGCGCAAGAATGAGTAAAATTGTCGATCGCTTGAAAAAAAAAAAAAAAAAACAATTCGTTCCGAATGATTTTATATATAAATAAATTTGTTCGTGCGTAAATGTATAAAAGATTTCTAAAAAAAGTTTTGAATTTTTATAAAACCGAAAGGAACATCCACTGTCAAACCTTGGATACAAATGAGCCCAGTATCCATTGTTTGGCACGATTCTATTTTCCTTTAAAACATGAACAACGATACATTGTTACATTGAAACTTGTGAATTCGATTAACAATTAAAATTTTCACTCGTAAAATTCGACATAATATAAACATATATATGAAAGAATTGTGAGAATGTGTAAATATATATTTGACTATATTTTACCAACGATCATATATCATTCGAGAGTATGTAAATATATAATTGTACATACAATACGCGATACTGTACATTAAGTATTAAAGCATGAAACGAAAATATTAGTTCATACGGAACCAATTTAGCCATAATTAAATTCTATAAGAGTTTAAGAGACTACGAATATGAGATTAAAAAAATAATAACAAGATGATAATTCCGTAACGCGATAATTGATAATTGTCGTGAGAAAGAGAGAAAACTCTAAGCTAGTTCGCGCGAACTATTACGATCTAAGGATATTTTAAATACGTACGAACACTGCAGTAGAATGACACAAATTTACATGATGTTACACTGGATGTATTCGTTGGAAAACGATCGAAAAATATCGAAAAAGAAAAATTATCGAAATAAAATGAATCGTGAAAAATTATCTTTCTCCTTTTACGCAATTATCTATCCCCTTTTCCCACAACAACACCACGATACCTTGGCTAGGCATCAATTTGATTAAATTTTTGACATCCATGCGCACCAGGTGCATCTTACAATAATCACGTGTTACTTTTTAGGATCAGTTTTATTTCTCAAAAAGTACAAAAAGATTACACAGGAAACGATGCGCTGTTCTTACAACGACGTGGACACAGACAGACAGATAGACAGACACAATCCAATCGAGTTGGTGATATGCCACAAGGTTTCACCTAAAGCTGAACTTCTCAATTTGGCTCATCGTTCAGTTCATGGTGCCTTACCGGATTAGTAGATCCTGAAAATCCCGATTAGGCGTATCATTTGTGACTTGTACCTACTATACACATGATGGTTAAATTGTGAGAAAAAAAAAAAAAAACACGATAGATTTAAGACTTTCTACTGTTTTAAAAGAGACGCACGCTCCGATTGGACAGGGTTGGAGAAGTTTACGCGACTTCCGGTACCACCTATTCCTGAAAGCTGGGTGCAGCCTTTCGCGAAAGCTTGCCTACGAATAACCAAAAGTGCAGAAAAGAAAATTTCAATGAATCGAGTTGGGAAATTGATAGTTACAATTCCTATTTATCCTATGCGCTAATCAATATATCTATAAAGAGAAAATATAACTATAAGCCTAATTTATTCTAAATCTTACAATCACTCGTATACATACAGACGTAAAGGAGAGGCATTAAGGGGGTGCAGAGAAATAGAAAAGCCTCGCTAAAATAAATTATCTTTTTATTCCATTAGCAATTACAACGCTTTGTAATTCAACTGACATTTCTTGTTCACTAAGCAACGTATCGTTCGTATACCGTTTACATCCTCCTAAACACACAACTTTTCCTTTTCTCTTTTCTTTTTTTCTTTCTTTAATAACAACGGTCGATCCGACTAGTTACACTTTATCACTTCAGTTATTATATTTTGTTCTCTCTCTCTCGTATCTACGTTATTTCATCGTTTTTATAGGGTGAAAATAAAAAGACAACAAGATAACACAAACGATGGAAAAAAAAAAAACTATAAATATTGTATGAGACACATTTAAGCAACTTATCACGCTGTATTCTACTGTCATACAGTAATGACAGTATTTTTGTGTATAGGCACAGATACAATAATAAATATGTATGCAATTTATTGCAACAACTATGAATAGACTTGCCTATAAAACTTGTCGAACCCTGCTTCGTTATTCATTCACACCTTATAACGCAAAGTATAAAATCTTTGGTCTGGACTAAAAACTCTTAATACATACTAGACGTTTTTACAAAATTCGGAAGCTTATTCGTTATAAAAGTACTTATTCTTCTTTCTTGTAAGAAAATCGTTCGTCGTTTTCTCATTTATTATTGTAAGGTCTCGATGTGAGGACGATCACAATGTGTTTGCCATGCTCGTGACACGGTATTGTGCACGATTTACATTTGTCTGCTTCGAATCGCTGACAACAAATATTAATTCGATATTAAGTTTAATGCCTGCATGTGTTTACAACGATTTAATCGATTAAATTCTCTTTGTTATTATTTCTTAATTTTCTCTCTCTCTCTTTCTCTCTCTCTTTCTCTCTCTCCCTCTCTCTCTCTCTCTCTCTCTCTCTCTTTTCTTATACTAATCTAATGTGCAGTGAAATAAGGAATCTACGAATTTTATGATCAGGGAATTCTTACATAATTTTTTAATAATAATGATCGGCTAATTTTTCTAATGTAAAGAAAACTCTAAATAAAAATTTAATCTATATAGTAGAAAATATTAATGATAAAATATAAAATTTAATAATTATACCAACTCAAAATCTAAGCTCAAATATTGTAAATGCATTTATTGATTTCCTTTCTTCCGTTTAAGATATCTAAACTACCTTAATATCCCCATGCATTGTTAACTTGAATTACAATCTTAAATAAATAAAGTGAATATAAATTCGTTTTTATATTATCCCTTTTCCCATCTTATATCAATATATTATTGTTTTACTCCAACATATAATATAACAGAAACGACAATTTAGAAAAAAACTTGCAACTTTAATGTAACAAAACTTTTCATATAAACAAATACTATCATAAAACAAACATAACAGTGATTTATAATGCTATTTTTCATTACTTGTATTCACAAGATTTTCGTTTGAAATTAATGAAAACTCAATTCCTCTGGTATCTGTATGATATGCCAAAATATGGCAATGAACGTTTTCTCCGTTCGCAATGGTGCTTCTTAATTGAAATTGGCATCGACTATCGCTGTTTACATAGGATTGCAAGGATTTCAATATAAATTACATATAATATACTAGAATCCTGTCATCGATGAGATACATTTCATGTGATAAAAAATTACTGAATTGTCTTCCAGAACTTACCACTTCCTTTAATACCTTTGACCTTCTGTTGCTTTTTCTTTGCATCGGGTGGAGCTGATAATGCTTCCCTACTTGATTCACTTCCTCCCGATCCTGAACTACCTCCTGCCATATCAGCTTCCTGCACACCACCACCTCCGGCTTGTGCAGCAAGTGATTTTTTTATGTTAGCAATCTACCAACAAAGATATTACAAATTTGGAAGCCTTGCCATATTTTATCACTTTCTCTGGAGGAAATATTACTCACATCTCTTTGTATTCTTTCTTTGTGATATGTGGCCTTTTGTTTTTCTACATTTGCTCTTGTAACTTGTTCTTCGATACATGCTAATACGGTGTCACAAGCTTGACCCCAAGCGGCTAATGTTTCAGCCACTACACCTGTATCAGCAGGTCTAACATCACGTCCTAAACCAGCATAATCTACTTCTAATTGTGAATTTTTTTGATCCAATTTGCCATGTATTATATCTGCATAAATTGCTTCTATTATTAAATCCTCTAAATCTCTAACATTTTTTATATCTAATTCCTCCAACAATACAGAATACGGTATGCATCTAGATTTTGTAGCTAATGTTACAATTGTTAGATGCTGAAGTTTTTTCTTTTGAGTAGGAGTCAATTCTAGAACTTTGTCTTTGTTCTCTAAATATTCTTTGTATGTGCCATATGCAAATAAATTCAGAGTATTCCAATATTGAACGTAAGGACCATTTTCAAGTTCTTTGATATTAGGCATATCTAATAATTCTCCGAATACATGGACACCTGGTGTCTCTACCGCTTGTTTAATAAGTTCTATAGCAGCTGCTCCTTTGGCAGTTTTTGCAAGTAGCACAAACTGTTCCAAAGGATTATTAGCCGACTTTTCTGTGGTAGTTGTACCAGTCATATTGAACCTGTTGAATAAATATTATTCGATGCAATGAACAAACATGTTATTGAATAACAAATTCTTCAAGTTTTTATATATTTAGAAAAATCTATTAGAAAATCCGTTATAGTAATATTCTTTATGAAATCTTATTTATAAAATCATACTACATAAAATCTTAATTTATTCAGATAAAAGTTAATATATTTTATAGGTTAGGATTATTTCTTTCTCAAAATTTTAATATAAGAAAATAAAAAGCTGATTGAATTAAGTAAAAAAATTAACAAATAACATATTTGTTACATATTACGTAAGATGAACTTACTTTATCCGATGTTTACAAATACCAAATGCCTTTTTCTTACTGAATATGCCTTCGAATGTAAGCAAGTATGCAAATATAAATGTGCAAGTCGTACCACGGGAAAGGAAACGGAACTTTCACCAGATGACGATGTAATTGTCTTACAAAAAAGGAGAATGGTATAGAGGACAGTGATAAAATATCATACGAAAGGACTGTTAAAAGAAAACGCTTCGAAAAATATATTTCGCATGAATCGATACGTTCTTTGTGAAGTTCTCTTTCGTTCTAAACTCACGTGGATGTTGTCGACACTGGCAAACAGTATCTTGAGTCTAGAATAACTTCAACGTATTGTATGCTGTGTTTGACAGAAGAGAGGGGAATGTGTTGTTCTTCGCGAATGCGAACGGTTTATGTTAATAGTCTTTCCAAATGATTGTGCCGTTTGATGGGAAATAGTGAACGGAAAAATTTCAAGATTGCAGTTCGTCGGACGAGACTGCGCTTGAAAATTCCGGGCAACGGATAGTACAAAATGAAGCCTTTAATCGAATTCGAAGAATGTTTGCGAGACACGCCGAAGTTTCGGTGAGAATCGGTTGAAAAAACTTCTAACACACTTTTGTTTGCTTCTTTTATTTCACTCTGTTGCACGAGCACTATGAGTAACGTTGACGAATGCACCACATTAAGAAAAGACGTATATTAATAAAAGAAAATATTTTTTGAATATTCGTTTCATGTTTCTAGATCCTGCATCGAAGAAGTAGAAGCAAATGTTGATTTACTTGAACAAAAGTTAGACAAGGTATTGTTATTCAATTCACAAAAAAGAGAAGAAAGCATAACGAAAAAAATATTAAAGTTTTTGCACACACGTTATAAATAATAATATAAAAGGGTTATGTTATTTCATATTATATGCAAAATGAATTATTATTGTTAAAAATTGCTAAATGAAATTTAAATTCAAGAATTTTAATTGTCAAATATTTATACTTCTCTATATTATCAATTACATTATAAACTATGTTACATAAGTGATCTCATTAAAAGAATTATTGTGATAATCATCAATGTTTTTAAATTAACTTAAAACAGAATTCTTTGCAGGTATTAAAAAATTGTAGTCAGATGATTGACACTGGGAAACTTTTTGTAGGACATCAGAGGTATGTTATTACATATATTAACTTATATGTAATTAATAGAGGAATAAAAATTTCTATTATGAAAGAATGAAATTATATCATAGTTAATAATAACAAAACTATAAATGTTTGATTGATCATATAAAATATATGATTGAAATGCTATTAATCATTTTAAATCAAATGTGTTTAATATAATAAAATGGGTGAGGGAGATATAATACTTCAACTAATAAAGAGGAGTCAGGAAACACATGAATTACAACTCTGTTGAGAATGACTCATACATATGGTACTCAGTTTCACATATAGACAGTGATACAGTTAAAACAGTTGCTATGAATTATTCTTTCCTTGATATTTTTATATTATGTTCAAATAAAAAATAATTTTAAAAACTTTATATATTCTTATATTATTTTATATAATTTTTAATATACATAATAAATAAAAATTGTAATATAAATTTAAATTGTAATATTTACTTTATAAAGTATTTTTTTTATATTATTTATGTATTTTTTTTACATTATCTATCTATTAAAAAATAACTTTTTTTTATAGCCAATTTGCAAATAGTCTCTGGGAATTATCTCTGTATTTTAATGATGATTCAGAGATAATGGCCTTACTGAACAAACTTATTCATGCTTTACAAGAAATGAACAAGTTTCATACTATTTTATTAGATCAAGCATCTAGAACTGTAATTAAAGATCTTAACTCATTTGTTAAAAGGTAAGATCTATTAAATATTTATATATGTGTGTGTATATATATATAATATGTATATTCAAATAATATTTCTAACATTTTATAATATTTTAACAGTGATATCAAGAGAGTAAAAGAATCTCGTCATTATTTCGAAAAAATTTCTGCAGATTTAGATATAGCTTTAAACAGAAATTCTCAAGTTCCAAAGTCCAGACCTGCAGAATATGAAGAAACTTCGAACATTTTATCAGCTACCAGATCCTGTTTCCGGCATACTGCTTTAGATTATATTCATTCTTTAACAATGATACAGGCACGCAAACGACACGAAATATTGGGTACCTTACATAATTATATGAATGCGTGCATTACTTATTACCATCAAGGTAGCGATCTAGCGCAAGATTTGGATCCATTTTTAAAACAACTCGGGGATAATTTAATTAAAATGAGAGCCGATTCCGTGAAACTCGAAAAAGAAATGGAAAATCGGCATATTTACGTTACTAATAGAGATTTAATACCTTCCCCAACACCTGGTAATCCTAAGATGGAAGGCTATCTCTTTAAACGTACCAGTAATGCGTTTAAAACATGGAACAGAAGATGGTTTTGTCTAAGAGATCATCAATTGGTTTATAGAAAAAGAACTGGTGATAATGATTATACAATTATGGAAGAAGATCTTCGTCTTTGCACTGTAAAACCAGTGGTTGACTGTGATAGAAGAAATTGTTTTGAAGTATTAAGTCCTACAAAGTGAGCAGTCAATAATGATAATAGTAAAAAATTTTATGTAACAATAAATATTTTAATAGATTATTATTCAATTTATAGAAGTCACATATTACAAGCTGATAGTGAAGAAGCTTATTTAGCATGGGTAACTGCCATGCAACAAGCAATTGGTGCTGCCATTCAAAGAGGAATGGGTGCTGGTACTATAATTAATATACGAGAATCGCAATCACAAAATGTTAGAGGATCAAACAGGCAGCAAACAAAACCTAAGTCAAGGTATTAATTAAAAATGATCTTGAATGTTTAATTGCATTTAGATAAGACTTGATTTTTAAAAAAAATATATATATAATTCTCTTTATTCTGCAGAGTATGGGAACAAATTTTAAAGATTGCTGGAAACGATACTTGTTGTGATTGTGGTGGTGCTAATCCAAGATGGGCCAGTATCAATCTTGGAATTACACTCTGCATAGGTAATTCATTTTTTTATTACGAACTCAATTATTTTCTAGCTCTATTTAAAAAATTTATTTTCTTTTAGAATGCTCTGGGGTGCATAGAAGTTTAGGTGTTCATTACAGTAAGGTTCGTTCATTGACGTTAGATGATTGGGAACCTGAAATACTGAAAGTAATGGCAGAGCTTGGAAACACTGTTGTGAACAATGTTTATGAAGCTTTGCCAATCCCTCCTAATATTATTAGAGCTACTCCAAAGTGTAACGGGTAAATAAAATTGATATAGAAGATAACATCTATTCTCCCTTCCCAAAAATAATAAATTTAATATTTTTCTTAAATTAACAGAAATATACGTGAAGCTTGGATAAGAGCAAAATATGTAGAACGCAAATTCGTAAAACCTTTGAGCAATATGATTTCATCCGGACAGCATGCAAGCCGCGATAAGATGCATTTTCGCAAATGGAGTGTCCGTAAATTGCGCCGTCGACCGCGGAGTTGTGACAAAATCGATAATACTAATCGTAACAAAACAACGATGTTATCATCTGTAAAAGAGGGTCATCATTCAACGAGCTCGGACGAGAGTAAACATACGTCAATTGAAAGTTTAAGTTCTGTCGATAAAGCGAAGAAAGTTGAAAGAAGTTCCTTAAGCTCTGACGATAGTACGAATATGGATTTAAAGAATGAATCTACACTTTACGGGAAAATCTTAGCACGTTCTCGTAGCGACGCAAATGAAAGTAATCTTAAGACTATCGATAATAATATGGAATTTAACATCGAAAATGAACATAAACTTTTAATTCCTGAAATCAAGGACAATACAATTGCCATGAATGATTCAGAAAATAATCTATCGATAAAAAATGAAGTGTCCTTAAACACAGAGATTTCTGATGTGAAAGATGCGTTTGAGAATAAAGATGCAGGAACGGAAAAACAATGTAAAATAGAATCCGATGTATTGATGTTCGGATGTGATTTACCAAAGCCAACGATCGATAATAGCTTAGAGTTAAGTTCCGATCAAGATTCGACTGCTGGCGAGGATGAAGAATTCACAGATGAAGAGGATATAGAAAATTTACACCCTGAAATGTTGCTTTATAAAGCTGCTGCTGCGCATAATCTTCCTGTAATGTGCGCAGCTTTAGCAGCTGGTGCTGATAAATCATGGACAAATGTTAATGACAGAGGAAGAAATGCTCTGCATCAAGCAATTATAAGTGTAAGTATAAAAATCATTGTCAAAATTCTTCGGTAATTAATTTTTATTTTTTAAAATACAGGGTTCTGTGATGTCTTGCGAATATCTAATATTAAATGGAGCTCGTATCAATTGCCAAGATGCTGATGGAAAAACACCATTATATTTGGCCACAGAATTAGGTGTGCATTTTTTATAAATTTTATTTTTTAATAAATTTATCATAATTATCAAAATTAATTATTTATTTGGAATACATATAGGTCACACTGCCCAAGTATGTTTGCTACTAAAACATCGCGCGGATCAGCATATCGAGGATGAAAGTGGTATAAAACCTTTATCCATAGCTGTAAAAGAAGCCAATGCGGACATCGTTACATTGTAAGTATAAAGTGGATTTGTTTCATTAAACAAACGATGTTTATCATATCACTTCGATATATATTTCAGATTAAGACTTGGTCTTTTAAACGAAGAAATGAAAGATTCTGAGATTGGAATTAGCGGTGATGAAACTTTCAACGATGTCGTTCGTGATTTTAGCCAACTAGCTTGTTCTCATCCAGAACGATTGCAACGGCGAAATGAAAGTAATAACGCGTCACAACCGCCTGAATGAGGTTTAAGAATGTGCAAAGTTTATTTGCAAAATTTAAAAAGCATGCTACAACGTAAAGAGAATAAGCAGTCTGGTACATCGAAAATGTCGTCTTTCAGTTCCTTGCAGGGTAATAAAATTGATTAACGAAGTAAGTATGAAGTTCGAAGTTTGGCGATATAGTAATTGAAACAAAACAAAGAACCATTATGGAACTTGTACACTTTTTACACTTTCTGATCTCTGTGCGAAAAAAGATTTATTAAAATTTATTAGCATTTTGTATTTCTAATTAAAGATAACACACAAAGCTAAAAAACTTTCACATGTTTTGCGAAAGGAAATAGAAAGAAGAAAGAAGAAAATATTATATTTTGCTTATACGCGAAATTTATGCTGTCTAATGATAAAATATTAAGATGCCGATCTTTTTGTATATTTTTCCTCCTCGTTTCCTCTGAAATTTACAGAAAATAAAGACACGGTAATAATTGTCGTGCATGATCCGTATATATTTTAAAGATGATCTTACAATTTAACGAACTTCACACAGACACTACATAGTTATAAATGCAATATGAAAAATAATTTTGCAAATATCTATGACAAAATATAAGTTATTATTATACATTATTATATAGATATTTGTATATCGTTTATGTGATATCCAGAAAAAAATATGAAAAAATAGTCATAAACTCTATAGTATGAAAATTTGATTAATAATCAACACATTTTCGATATATGATCTAATTCCGTGATGTCCATGGATTAATAATTTTATACATAGATATATCTGTTTTTATATACTTAATATTAACTAGTATTATGTATTGGTATTGAAAAACTCTTTTTTTTTCTTTTTTGTATTTTTTTTCCTTTTTTTTTTTTTTTTTTTTTTTCTTTTTTAGCTAAAAGTAGTAATCGAAATAGTGAATTGTGACATAGATACATAGAATATTACAATATAGTTGATAGAATAGTTACATTTATAAATAGCTGTATACTATATTAGATTACCAAAATAGACTAACAATGATTCTATATAGTTCCGTACAATATATACATATATTATATAGTATATCGAATTTGTTGCCAAAAATTGAATGTTTGTACATACAAACTTGTACATCTGACAACTATTTGACGTTAATTCTTAAAAAAAAATATTTTATTTAAGAGATTGTTTAAAATTAACGATCAAAAGATATACATAAAAATACGTTACAATTTTTTTTGTAATTCAATCTTTCTTTTTTGCTATGTTTTATGCATTTAACACACGTAAATTAGTTTCCTTTCGTGACTTGTACAACGAATAAGTTATACTTCCTTTTTTGTATATTTTACTATTATACTAACACTACGTTGAACAGTATTTATAAAAAATTTGTAGGATAATGCATGATTTTTAGTCTACTTATACGTAATAGAAAAATGAATTTAGATAAGAATTTGAGAGAGAAAAAAAAAAAAAAAAAAATATCAATCATTGTTATTAAATATTTTTCATTGTTTACGTAGAGAGGCTTTATTGATAGTTACGATTAAATGGTACAAAATCGAGATCATTAAGTCATCAGTATAAAATTTCTTTCCGTGAGATTTGTATGAAAAAATTATTTCCACGTGATTTTCAGATTTGATATATTTTTTTATTTGTCAATATTTTGTCATTCGAATCTGGTATTCGATGTTTGATGTAAGAATCTTGTTTAATTAAGCAATGTGATTATAAACGTGACGTAAGCATAATTCTACTAAAACGAGATACTCATTGTTGTATAAATAATTAGCAACAAACAAACTCAATTCCAATCTATTTTTTTAATCTACAACACAGTGGTATTTTATTACTTGCTGTTTTTACGACAAAGTAATTTTAAGATGAAGATCTTTTTTTGTTCATTGTGTGTTCTATTTTGTTACAAAATTTTTTTACGAATCATTTTATTATACGAACTTTTATATAAATAAATTTTATTCCAACGATAAAATTAATCTTGTGCTAGTACTTTTAATATGTACTTAGTCTTTTTTTTTTTTTTTTTTTTTTTTTTTTTACATTTTTTTTTGTACAAAAACAAACAATTGACAAAAAGAAACGTCAAATGAAAAATAATAAAAGACACACAAAGGAATTGTTTTTATATTTATTAACGATAATTGTCTTCCAAAGATGAAAATTCTCTCTTTAAAGGATTCCCGTTGTAATATTATCCTAAATTTATAATTTAATATTATAACGTTATCGGTTACTGTGAAATCGTCACCGGTTACTGCCTAATTGTGAAACGTTGTTAAAATATTCCATGTACGTCTATAGACAAGTTGAGCAAATAATATCGTTTTTCTGTTGCGCGCCATCGCAATAAAAAAGAAAAGAAAAAAGAAAATTGTAAACAGTCTAATTCATGTATCATGTTGTACACACAAACTTTACGTCATAAAGCAGTGATTATGCAAGTACATGTACGTGTTCTTTCAATAATTCTTACCCTTTTACTTTTATATATATATATTAACTCGAGCGAAAAAGACAGAAACAACTAGGGGAGGAGGGAGGGGGGAGAGAAATCCGTATTTTTTTACGTAAAATATTTTTACGAACGTTGCAATTTGAACTGTTATCTATCTTAATAAACGTATTCCGCTTTTTCGTAAAGATGCGGATGAAGAAGTTTGAGCATACGAGAGGAAATTTACGCAACAAATTATTTTGCTATTTGAACTTATTTGATTGAAATTACGGCGCAATTCGTGAAGTGTAGGGATTGATAAATTCCCCACTAATCGAAATAAACACTTATGCATCGCGTGTAATTTACGCGTTACTCTCTCGCTATAAGTTGCGTAAATTAAAGCAAACGGGTCAATACCCTATCGCTGTTATAATTATCTGTGTGTGAGTTCACACAGATGCGTGCACGGATGTCCAAACTAATTTATCAAGAATTTTTCTATCTTACATGTGAATGCTCCACTTTTCGTTACTAGCATTTATTTACGCGCTCTTTAAAGATAAAAGATACAAAATAAGGCGTCGCGCGAGGGGCTCTTTTAAATACCAAAATAAACACTGGACGTCGAAAACAAGCTTCCATTACGAAAAAAATAAAATTAACGAAACGCGAAATATAAAATGAAAAAAAAAAATAAAATAAAATACTTATTTATCTTTCTTCGAGAAATTTCTGTTTCTGATCAATTACTGAAAATTTGTTGTACGTTAAATTTTTTAATTTTGCGATAATAGAAAGCAGATTTAAAATTTGAACTGATGATTAAATTGATTGTATCTTCGAATTTATCGAGTTTTCAAGCACGAAATATCAAAGCAATCCCTTTTAGTTTCTAGATCACGTGAAAATCACGACAAAAATGGACTTATCAAGAACTTTTTTTCCATGGTTTTCGCATGAATACTACAAGGAATAAATATTTTCACAATTATTAATCATAAATATCGTAAATATCTTCTAAAAAGTGTTCCATTCAATTTATTTCAAATTTATACGAGAATTTACTTAAAATTAGAATTGGAAAGCACGGTCTGCCATCGCGGTTCCATAACAATTTTCTGCTTATTCATTGGCTTGAAAACATGAAAATACTCTGCCATTGACGATCGGAAACCGTGGATTGGTTCGAAGTAGATAACAGATAAGAACTAACGCTGCTCGATTGGTCGGGCATACCCTTCTCGTTGCTCGATAAAAGCATTGTTTGTCAAACTATCAATCGTACGCATTGGTACAAGCGTGGATTAATCTCCTGACGCCATTGATCCAACTGCGTGCATGCATTTCTCTTATTTCTCTCATATTTTGTTTACTAACGAACCGCTCGTCAACAACATGATTAATTTCTTTTTTTTCTTCCCTTTTTTTCTTCTTTTCTTTTTAATCGAGTTCTTGATATGATACGATAAGAAATTCCTATTCCTCGAGCGGAGAAAAACGAGAAGTGCACACGATGCAAAGAGATAAATCTTCTTTCAAGAATATTAACTCCCTATATTAACTCAGCTTTCATGTGACCGAGAAGTCACATATCTCATTCGCTTATATTTTTTTCAAATTTCCTTATCAATGCGTCATTAACACCAATCCATCCTATGACGGTAAAGATCGTAATAAAAATTGCGATCAATATCAACGCAACATTCATCTCTCGTAAACAAATCAAACTCTTTTTCCAATCTCTGCCTCGAACTCTAAACATCGTTCGATCGCGTTATTTTTCGACGAATTTCGAAGACAATAAAGTCTAAAATAGTGAAGTGAAATAAAGTCGATCAATGCTGGGAAATCGTTAATAAATTCGTTAATTCGCACGAAGAGATTAACTTAACATCGATAATAACGGATGAAAGACGAAAAGCGAAAACATTAAAAAACGTAAAGCTTGATCGAGCTTAATTGAATTGGCGGGCCGAGCCCACCGGTTCAAAGAGCTCGATAATAATACAAAGATCCCATCTATCCGCAACTATGGCGGCAGGCAGTCTACGACGACGCCTAGAACAGATTCCTATTTCGAACGATTACGGCCTCGAGGTTGCATGTGTCATTCCACGCGCAGCCGGTTCCACTAATTCAACTGACAGATACGAACAAGATCATTAATTCTAGCACGGCCACTTTCATGACCCGTTCTTTGAAGAAAACCACGTCGCCGGAATTACAAATTAGCCCTGAACAAGCGACCAATCCTGCCAAGAGCGCTCCGCGAGACGAGCCGCGAAATGACTTACTCCGATCGTGGACTTCCAAGAAGGGAGACCAACAAGAAATTGATTGCACGGTACAAATGAGCCCCCACTTTGAACGCGAGAATAACTTTGCGAGTTGCGGGCTTTGAACAATAGTTCTAAAATTGGTCAGAAAAATATCTCGTTTTTTTATTTTCTCTCAGCCCGTGGCAAATTGCGGCGTGAGGGGGTAAGTTGCACGACGGAAAGATTTGCATTGATAACCGTGGGGCCCCTTCTCTCCGCCCGTTAAAAGCGCGAGACGGTGATTGAACGAACGGTTGGGTCGGTGAACGTGAAACAAATCCAGTTACCATAACACACCATCGGTGCAATTTATTTTTTACGACACCGAAAGAATGTTTGAATTATAGCATTGATAAGGCCGCGGGGCCCTTTTCGGCTTGACGCCGCGTCGTAAATCAAGGGCTCCCGCAAAAAGTCCCCGCGCGCGACTACAATTGAGATTGGCCATGGGCCACGAACAAATTTCTTGCTTCCTTTTATTTTCCAGTCACGGTTTTGGCTTACTAGCCGGCCTCAAACGGCAATAAAAAACTGAAACGGAGATCCTGCTCGCGTGAAACAACCACTTGGCGAGGAGCAAGTGGTAAACGTTGAACAATCGTTAACGCGAAACTCTTTAATCGGTATGAATCATTTCATTTCGC